ATTTCTATTGAGTTGAAAGGCTCAAAATCCCCCCGGGTGGGTGAGAGCAGAAAGGTAAAAAACAAACAGTGTGATTTTATGTCTCACTTTTAAATGGACCCAGGTCTACAGGTGGGGTTTTTCCCCCCTTACTAACAGGTATTTGGATGAGTCAAACAACCCCAGAGAAGAGAGCTGGAAGATTAAATGTTGAGCAAACCCCACGTCCCAACCAGCACTGGCACCATCCTGTCCCCGTGCCTAATTTAGGGCCTGATCCTATCAAGAAATGCCATGAGCAGGTTATGGGGAGGAAGCCAAGGAGCTCGTTGGAGTTGCCTCATGGACGAGGTTCTAGGCGCTCGGGGTTTCGCCATCCCCGGCAATCTCCGGGGCAGGAGCTGGTGCCAGGTAAACAACCTTTCACTGCCAGGTCACGCTGTAAATAACAATCAGTCGGAAATCCCCCGGGAGATCGGCAGATCTCCTTCGTGAGGCTCGTGGAGGCTCTGTGGGGTGGCAACAGCACCTCCAGCAAGAGGTTGAGAACAGAATCCCAGGATTCTGCAGCAGTTGGGGTTGGGAGGGATCTCTGGAGATCTCCTGAGGGAGCAGAGGGCATAGGGACACATCCAGAAGGGGCTGGGGAGTCTCTGGAAGGGGAGACTCCTTCCCTGGGCAGATGTTCCAGAGCTCTGCCTCCTCCACGGAAAGAAGTTCTTCCTCATGCTGAGCTGGAACTGGGGTTTGGTTTATGGCCATCCTCGTTGTGCCACTGGGCACCACCGGGAAGAGACTGGCACCATCCTGTTGCCACCTGAACTCCTCTCACCACTGAAAGTGCTGTATTTTAATTGTATTAACATACATTTTACACTTAAATTGGGTGTTAAATATATAGATAAATGTCCTTTGTGTTGGGGAGATTCCTTGAGTACCCATTTACATTTTGAGTGAAGGAGCCAGAAATGAAAGAAATCATCCCAATATTGAAACTACCCACAGGCTGTGAGGTTTTATTTTCCAACCTGTGATCCAGAGGAGATGGAGAAAAGAATCTTTTCCCATCACCACAGCACAAACCCCTTTTTCCAGCAGCTCCTGGGCGACTGTTGTCAGCACAGCCTCATGTGAGGAATGCAGAGCTCTGTGATGTCACGACACCGCCGGGGGAAAATTCCACTGCGGCACATCCAGGGGCACTTTGGGGATGTGGCAGAAGCTGCTGGGCCAGTCACTTCTTCTGGATGGGGGGCCAGTGGGTGCTCTGCTTGCACTGCTGGGTCTTGACCGGGGGGACGACCACAGGGCATTTCTGCTGCACCACCTGGGCGCATCCCCCGCCCGCAGGGCTGAGCTCTGGGCCGAGGAACGTCCCAGTTCCGTGTGTCCCATATCCGTACCCTCCCCCGTAGTACCCTGAGCCCTCAGAGACCCCCCCCGTGCTTAGGGTGTCACTCAGGGGTGCAGAGTATCCATACCCAGCCCCTGCTCCCTCGGCCATTCCCGAATTCCCTCCGTGGTAGACGGATCCTCCACCTCCCCCTGCGCTGCTGATGACCGGGCCCACGTCCCCGCTGCTGTACCCCATTCCCACTCCGGGGCCGTAGACTGGGATCGTCCCCACCGTGGGGTCCCAGCCAGACGTGACCCCATAATCCCCGCTGCTGTCACACGAGTACCCCCCTGAGATGCTGTAGGGGGCTGGTGCTGGCAGGGGCGGGCAGGACGAGGGTCTGCGGCTGTAGGTGACGGAGCTTTCCCCGCCGCAGGAGAAGGAGGTGTGCCCGTGGCGGTTGGCGAAGGCCCCGGAGCAGAATCCGCGGTGGCTCATGGAGATCTCCCGGCTGTAGCCCCGGTTCTGCCGGGAACATTTCCGTCGGAGATAGTGGTAAAGCTGGAAGAGGGAAGGAAAACACCCAAACTTGCACCGTTCTGCTTCGTGTCAGTGCCAGGGCAGGTGGTGTGGCCAGGGACTGGGCCAATTCCAGGCTTTGAAACGGAGCTGTTAGAGAATCCTGGAATCGTGGAGTGGTTTGGGTTGGAAAAGACCTTAAAGCTCATCCAGCATCACCCCCTGCCGTGGACAAGGACACCCTCTGCTAGACCAGGTTGCTCCAAGCCCCTATCCTTCAAATCCAAGGATATCTGAAGTCTTCCTGGGAGAGCTTTACTCTTTCTACCTCTAATTCCAGAGAATCCAAAAGCTGAAATATATTCTGAATCCAAAATCTGAAATATAAAATCTGAAATGTATTATTTTCCTCCTAATAACTACCATGGCTTTCCCCACTCATTCTCATGTCCACAGAGCTGCAAAATCACTGAGGATCATCTTTATTTCTGTTCCTCAGTAGCTGTTTGATGGATCAAAGTTTCCACCCTGGCTCTGTTACTGCAGCCCCAAAATTCTTTTATAGAAGGTGATTGGCCCAGGCACAGAGGTTTGTGGCCATTCTGAGATCCAGGGTTGTTATTAAATAATATAAAAATGTGTCCTGCACATTCAGGGTTGTTATTAAGTAATATAAAAATGTGTTCTGCACATTCAAACCCACAAAGGTTGTGCAGTCCCCACGTGGGGTGGGTGCAAACCCACCGCAAACCCATCCGGGTTTTTACCCTGCTCATCCCTCTGCATCCCGCTCTGGTGCCTTGATTTCCCTTTTTTCCGTAGAGATTGAATCGAGAACGGAGTGAGAGCCCACCCATATCCTGAAGACTTGGCTCAGGCAGGAGGATCCCGCTGCCGGCACCAGCCAAGGTCTCAAATGAGCCGCATGCCATGACTAGGAAAGGATAAAATCACAGAAAAAAAAAAAAGACTTACCCTCTTCAACCATCGGAAACACATTTAGAAGGTAAAGTCGACTGAATGAGGAGCTTTATCAGCCTCGGGAACATTTATATGGCATTTAACGTGTATGGGAAGTGAGACACCCTCGGGAATGAAAAGGATTTATTTACCGAACTGCGATTTCAGTGTTTGCTTTGACTCCCGATCCGTATCTCCCTTCACACCGCTCATTTCGCCTCTGTAATTGTTACTTCTGCTTAATGAGCCTTTCCTGCGCCCTTGCCCTGGGCTACGCCGGAATCCTCGGGCCCCCAGCCCCGGGGAGGTGGGTGCGGTGTGGGTGTAGGAGAATGCACGGCGAGAGCGGGGACGGGGGACGGCTCCCAAAGCTCTGGGGGCGATCTGATCCCTCCTGCCGGTCCCCGGTGGCTCCAGCGGGAGCTTTTTTTCCCGAGGAAAACATTTGCATATGAACCAGAAGGTTCAAAGTGATTGATGCCCTAAGTGGGAATTTTGCCAGGGAGCTGGAGGTGCGCTAAAAGAGCTTATAGGCAGAATTTGCGGAGGTGTAAACGTCCCCATGCTTAAACCCAGCCTGGCTGCATTACGCTTTAATGAAGGATTCTGCCTCCACATCCTTCCTTCTTTTTCAGCTCCTTCCTCTGGTTTGGAAAGAGCTCCGGGGCCTGCTGGGGGCTGCGGATCCCGGCTGCTGCAGCCCTGGAGAGCTCAGCGCAGCAGAGCAGCTCCCGGAGGCTGGACCGGCTCCGGGGACTTCTCCTGCGGGGACAGAGTCCCACTTTCGGCCAAAGCCCCATCCCCGGGCAGAAATCCGCGCGTGGAGCTGCCAGGACAGGGTGCACAGCCTGGGGAGGGGGGGATTTGAGGCCGGGAGGAGGATTTGGAGGTGGTTTTTGAAGGATTTGCTGCTGGTTTTATTCCCTCCTGCCCGACCCGGGGCTCGGTTGGCTGGTTCGCAGGTGTGGCTTCCCTCTGGGTACAGATCATGGAATTCTATAATCCTTGATGCTGGAAAAACCCTCCCAGACCATCGAGTCCAGCCTGTCCCCACTTTGTCAGCCAGCCCAGAGCACTGAGTGCTCCGTCCAGTCCTTCCCTGGACACCTCCAGTTTTGCTATTGGACATGAAATGAGTACACGGAAGCTTGGTAAATTCAAAAGAGAAAAAGACACAGTTTTAGTCAAACATTTGGTGTTTATACAGTTCCAGAGGTGACTGTGGATTTCAGGATGGAATTACCACCTCTCCAACCACACTGGTCCAAAGATCAATCAGTCATTTCTCTCCACACACAGAGAAATATAAACTATTCTATTTATACACGAAATTATGTGGGAACTTTGACTCTCAATTATGTAAACATGATCAGAAGGTTAAAGAATTTTAATGAGAACTTTGAAACTTTCAGAAGAACTATAAATGAAAACTTAACGCTTTTAAAAATCAGGGCAAACACCTCCAGGGATGGGGACTCCAAACCTCCAAGGCCTGACAATCCTTCCATGAGGAAATCCATCCTGGTGTCCACCCTGAGCCTCCCCTGGCACAGCCTGAGGGTGTTCCTCAGCTTTGCTGCAGGAAGGGGGAGGATGGCAAGGCCGTGGAGGTTGTCATGGTTTTATTGCCCACCTGGGGCATCAGCAGCTGCTTTGGGTCATCCCCAGTCCCAGCTGAGCAGGGTGGGCCTGGTCACATCTCCCATCAGGCCAACAGAGGTGGTCATCGTGTGCCGGCCCCTCAGAGGACACAGAGGGCCTGCACCATGCCCAGGCACCAAAGGGTGTTGGTGCTGTGGTTCCTTCGAGTTTTGGGGTCTTCTGTTCCTCCCTCACAGAGCCCAGGTGGAAAATGCAGGTGCAAAACTTTATGGGATGATAAACTGGGTGGCTTTGGAGAGAAACATCTCATCAGAGACATTTCCACATCCCCAGACCATGAAGTGCAGGTTGATAGTGCAAGAAAGAAATGAACTCCCGAAAAAAAGGGCAGGTTTGAGCAATTGTAACATTTATTGGATGTAAAAAGTGGCAGGAGGCACCCCAGCACCAGGAGCAGGGACAGGGCAATCCTGGAGATCTCACACGAGGGTGCAGTGTCCAGGGGATAGGAGAGGACACACTGGGAAGGACCAGGCAGCAGAGCCAGGGCTGGGGGTAAAGAGGAGCCGTGGCAGAGACTCAGAACTGGAGCTGCCCGGGGCTGTTACTTCTGCTGGCAGGGCCAGTAGGAGCTCTGCTTGCACTGGTGGGACACCACGCTGGGGATGACAATGGGACATTTCTGCTGGGAGTAGCCTCCGCTGCCCCCTCCAGAGCTGATGATGATGGTCTGGCCTGAGGAGCCGCTGCTGCATCCTCCTCCCATCCCATAGCTGGATCCTCCACTGCAGCATCCAGAGGAACCTCCACTGCTTCCCCCTCCAATGATGATCTTTGATCCTGAAGATCCACCATATCCTCCGCCCATCCCGTAGCTGGATCCTCCACCACAGTATCCAGAGGAACCTCCACTACCTCCACCTACAATGATGGTCTTTGATCCTGAAGATCCACCACCGTATCCTCCACCCATCCCATAGCTGGATCCTCCACCACAGTATCCAGAGGAACCTCCACCTCCAATGATGGTGGTCTTTGATCCTGAAGATCCACCATATCCTCCACCCATCCCATAGCTGGATCCTCCACTGCAGCATCCAGAGGAACCTCCACTGCTTCCCCCTCCAATGATAACCTTTGTCCCTGAAGAGCCACCACCATATCCTCCACCCATCCCATAGCTGGATCCTCCACCACAGTATCCAGAGGAACCTCCACCTCCAATGATGCTCTTTGATCCCGAAGATCCACCACCGTATCCTCCACCCATCCCATAGCTGGATCCTCCACTGCAGCATCCAGAGGAACCCCCACTACCTCCACCTACAATGATGCTCTTTGATCCTGAAGATCCACCATATCCTCCTCCCATCCCATAGCTGGATCCTCCACCACAGTATCCAGAGGAACCTCCACCTCCAATGATGCTCTTTGATCCTGAAGATCCACCATATCCTCCACCCATCCCATAGCTGGATCCTCCACTGCAGCATCCAGAGGAACCCCCACTACCTCCACCTACAATGATGCTCTTTGATCCTGAAGAGCCACCACCGTACCCTCCTCCCATGCCACAACCTGAGTATCCTCCACTGCTTCCCCCTCCAATGATGCTCTTTGATCCTGAAGAGCCACCACCGTATCCCCCTCCTATCCCGTATCCAGAGGAGCCCCCACTGCAGCAGGATCCACCTCCACCACCAGAGCTGATGATGACTTTGCCGGAGCCCCCGCTGCCCCCGCAGCAGGAGGAGCCCTGGGCCTGGTAACTGGAGGAGCCACTCCCGTGGCAACTGGAGCCCTCGCTGTGGCACCCGCTGGACTGGGAGGACATCCCATGGCAGCCTCCGGAGCTTTGTCTGGAGCACATCTTGGAGCAGTGACCCTGCAAGGAACGGAGCTGTCAGAAAGGAGAACCTTGGAGACGCAGCTGAGCCTTCCCAGCAGAGAAGGAAGAGCTCCCAGGACTTTTCCCGTTTGTCCCATCTTCTGCAGCCCTACTTTAAACTCCCTCCCTGAGACCTGCCGTGACATCCCAGGGAGCTCTCTGCAGGTCACAACAGTTCCAGGAAACCTCTGCGTGCGGGAAGGTCGGGAACGCTTCCCAAGGTTTGCACACATGCTCTGACACGCCAAAAAGATGGTGTGGATCCTTCTGGATGTCTCACACTGACTCAGCAGCTGAAAGTTCAGAGTCCCACCTGCAACGCCCCTGTCTAAGGAAGGGAGTTCTATTGGCACCTCCAGCTGGTTTTTGGTGGAGCCACCACAGTTCAAAGAACGCCCAAAGCCAAACTGGTGGAGGGATCTCCCTGCGCAGAGGTTCCAGAAGTTTCCGTGTCCACGGGCTTACCTTTGGTGCTGGTGGGAACGTCGCTGTGCTCAGTGTGGTTGAGTGAGGAGCCCTGGGATGGCCGAGCTTTTATACTGGCTGCATCGTGCTCCCGAGGGAAGTGAGACACCCTAAGGAATGCTGAGAGATTTATTGACGGAGCTTGGCCTCGCTGCCTCCTTCCTTGACTCACGTGCAGCAGAGGCGATGTGAAGGAGGCGCTTCAGCTCCATTCTGTACCGCAGTCGCTAATTCCGCCTAATGATTCGCTTCCGGGAGCCTCGCTCCGAATTTTTGGGACAAATGACACCTCGGGGTCTGCTTTGGGCAGGGCCCCACTGTGTTTCTGCTGGGATGGAGCTCCTTGGGTGCTCAGGACAGAGTGGGGACTGAGCAGAATGGGACTGGAGAGAGTCGGAACCAGAGTGATGGAAGGAGAAGGATAAAGGATGTGCTTGAGCAGAGTCACAGAGAATTTTGGAGAATTTCCTCAGGGACTGGCAAGACGGGGAGCAGGAGCACATCCATCCTGCAGGGAAAGGCCAGAGGTGCCACCCCAACAGAGTTCCCTGCTTTGAAGCTGCCCAGATCTGTGTCAGAGGACGTTGTGAGGGTGACAGTGACAAAGGGGACTTTTCCCTCCAATCTTTTGTGGCCCCAAGGTGGAAGTGGCTGTTGGATTTCCACAGAGGTCTGTGCTCAGCTCCAGCTTCCAGGGGTCTCAGTCTCCAGGCTGGAGTGGGCAAAACCTTGGAATCCTTCTGTTCTCACAGTTGCACTTGAAGGCCATCAAGACCTGACCCTTGAACTCTAGGATGTTGAACGCCCCCTCTACCTCAACAGGAGCTATTTCTGAGCATCTTCAGTGGCCACCCCACCCACACCTGAGCAGGGGAGTTACCTGGATATGTTCCCTGCTGGTGGATGACAGTTTGTCAGCACAGCTGTCCCAGCACCGGCTCTGTGTCATGCGTGTTTGGAGCCTGACAGCAGCATCCGCCCTCCCGGGACACTGAGTAGAGGAAGGACTAATCGGGGTTTTGGCTGTGGGGGTGAGTGACAGCAGCAGCAGGTCCCAGCTGTCACCACTAACGTGACTTTGAACATGCACATGCGACACCTTCGGGATGGGGACAGGCCACCAGAAGCGGGGACACACGTGCAGGGGGCTTCCTTCGTTCGGCTTTGGAGTCCCTCCCGTGGCCCTATCTCTGTTCTCATCTCCAGATCTGAGGTGTCACCGCTGTTCTGGCTCCCAGCTCTGACGTGTGGGTGTTGTACTCCTGAGGATCTCAACACCTTGATCCCTTCTGTGCCTTCAGCCTGTAGGAACTTGCCCAGAGGGACACTCAGGATTAGCAGCTCATTGGCACAGAGGGACACCCGGGATGAGCAGCTCGTCCTGACCCAGGGATGAGGAAAGACCGGGGAGGTTTTTGGAGGGGTGGTGAGAGGAGCTCCTGCAAATCACAGAGTGTGGAGAGCCCAGGGCGGGACCCTCTGGAAGCACTGGACCTGTAGCACATGGATTTGTTTGCCAGAGGTGTAGGAAAAGCGTGGCTGGAGCACAGGGTCGGCACCACCACAACCTCTCCAGGTTAGGGAGAAGTTTGGATCCCTGTGTTGGGTAAAGGGAAATGTGGATCTAAAAGGCTTCGGGGACACATTCTCAGTTTTGTGATGATCTCCTGGGTCCTCTTCCCTACAGTCCTGGAGCCCTTGGGAAGGGCTGGCAGGTCATGGTACATCTTCTTCTCCTCACCACAAACACCTCAGCGAGTGGTTGATATGAAAGAGAACAAATCCCTGGCCAGATCCTACATCACCCTGGATCCCTTTCCCACCAGATTCCCTTGCCCACAGTGGTGCTGACAATGTGGGGCGTGATCCTGGAGAAAAACTCTCCAGTTTTTTCCAAAAGGCAGGAATCTGTCAGTCGTGATCCCTCAAGAGTGTCATAGCCGATGATCTCTGCAATTCCTAATTTTGTTTCCTCCCTACCACATGTGTTTGTGAGGTGAACAAAAACCCTCTAGACTTAAAGTTTACTGGACTCAAGACTAATCCCACCAATTCCAAAGAGGACTTTGGGAGTCCTTTTTGAGAGGATTTTTCTGCTTTAGGAAGAAAGTCAGCTGTCTTTGGGCTGCATCCAAAGGAGAGTGGGCAGGATGGTGAAGGGAGGGTTTTTTTCCCTCTTCTCTGGTGAGATCCCACCTGGAATGCTGAGCCCAGTTGTGGTGTCCCCAACATAAGAAGGACATGGAATTGTTGGAGCAAGTTAAGAGGAGGCCAAGAAGTTGATAAAAGGAGTCCCTCCCCTATGGAGCCAGGCTGGGAGGGTTGGGAATGTTCAGCCTGGGGAAGAGAAGGTTGTGTGGAGACCTCACAGCACCTTCCACGACTGGCAGGGGATCCAGGGAAGCTGGAGAGGGACTTTTCCCCAGGAATTTCAGGGACAGGACACGGAGAATGGGTTTGGGATGAAAGAGGGGGAAATTAGGTTGGATATAGGAAAGATCTGTTGATGAGCACTTGCTCCATCACTGGAGGCTGGAGAACATTTCCCAGCAGAATGCTTTGGATGTTTTGCTCATGTTTTGGGAAGCAAACTGACAAAAGGAGATAAGCAACCTCACAAACCAGTTCTGTCTGTGCACAGAAATCTTTATTTCCCATCACATTTATGGCACAGAGGAGCCACCTGGGAGTTCACAGCACAGGGATGCAGCACCAAGGGAACACAAGGGACAGGGATGTGCTGGGGTCGGACTTGGAGGGCAAAGACTTGGCCGTTCCTGATGGGAACAGAGTGCCCAGGGCTGTTACTTCTGCTGGCAGGGCCAGTGGGAGGTCTGCTTGGTCTGGGGGATGATAATGGGACATTTCTGCTGGGAGGAGCCTCCGCCGCCACCTCCAGAGCTGATGATGATGGTCTGGCCTGAGGAGCCACCGCCGGATCCTCCACCACAGCATCCAGAGGATCCACCACCGCCTCCGCCTCCCATGATGATCTTCCCTCCTGAAGAGCCACCACCGTATCCTCCTCCGCAGCATCCAGAGGAGCCTCCTCCTCCTCCACCGCCAGAGCTGATGATGATCTTCTGGGCTGATCCCCCACTGCCACCACCGGATCCTCCTCCACAGCACCCAGAGGATCCTCCACCGCCTCCACCTCCCATCATGCTCTTTGAGGAGCCACCACCAGATCCTCCACTGCAGCACCCAGAGGATCCACCACCACCTCCACCTCCCAT